TAAATCTACACACATTTGGCACCTAAATAGCAATTTTACAACCCATAGTTGCCATATGATGTAGATCAGTACTGGTCAATTTATAGATAGGGAAATAGAGGGACAAAAGTGGAGTCAGAAAGACAACCCAGATGTCCATACTTCCAATCCTACCCTTCATTCCCTACAATACTTCCATATTTTTATGTTCAAGTACTGGCTACACAAAGGCACATAGTGAAAAAAATATACATTTAAATGTTAATTTTCTGTCTCTCTGATTTAGATCCATTATGTTTCTTATATGGAAACAAGAAATTCGGCAGCAGTCACTGGCAACATTCAGAATTATGAGAGAGTTCTTAGAAATACTCAATGATCTGAGATTTTTTAATAAAATTTAGCAATGCCATTATGTGTGACAGACATGGCATCTTCCTGTAATATACTTGAAAAACATTATTTAATTAAAATTAAGTAACTTGGAGTCCAAAAGGTACTCAGACTTTAAGGCCAGAAGGGACCATCATGATCATCTAGTCTGACCTCCGGCATACTGCAGACCACAGAACCTCACCCACCTGCTCTGGTAATAGACCCCTACCTCTCGCTGAGTTACTGAAGTCTTCAAATCATGATTTAAAGACTTGAAGTTACAGAGAATCCACTATTTACATTATTTTAAACCTACAAGCAACCTGTGGCCCATGACGCAGAGGAAGACAAAACACCCCCAGGGTCTACCAATCGACCCAGGACAAAATTCCTTCTCGACCCCAAATATGGCGATCAGCTAGACCCTGAGTATGTGGGTAAGACCCACCAGACACCCACCTGGGAAAGAAATCTCTGTAGTAACTCAGAGCCCTACCCGTCTAGTATCCCATCACCAGCCATTGGAGATGTTTGTTACAGATCGGCTACATGCCATTGTAGGCAGTCTCATCATACCATCCCCTCCATAAATGTATCAAGCTCAGGCTGGACGTCAGTTTTTTTGCCCCCACTGCTCCCCTTGGAAGGCTGCTCCAGAACTTTACTTCTCTGACAGTTAGGCCTGGTCCCCACTAAGTCCCCACTTCGGACTAAGGTACGCAAATTCAGCTACGTTAATAACGTAGCTGAATTCGAAGTACCTTAGTCCGAACTTACCGCGGTCCAGACGCGGCAGGAAGTCTCCCCCAGTCGATGCCACGTACTCCTCT